AAATGTGCCCTACTATACAAGTAGGGCACACTTGGTTGCATTACAGCTTAATGGGTTGAGCACCACTGCACTCACCTTGATGAGTAAAATTGTCTGGCGTTAAGGAGAGTGAAATAATAAGGTAGGGTGCATCAGGGCGCAATGCGATTCAATTGATTAATTGTGAACCATAATTACTGTACAGTATTTGTACTTTTACAGTTATATTAACATTCAGTTATATTAACATTCTGAGCTTAAAAGAAAAACTACATTGAAAGAATGCATTTCTCCTTCAAGTACAAATATGCATTTGTCCATTCATCTGGATTAATCGTGTCATTGTCTGGAATGAGACGCACGCATTCTGCTCTGAACTCTTCAGTGAGAAAGTCATGTGGGACTTGAAGAACACCAGATTCTGTTGCAGCCTCTTGAAGTTGTTCCTCAGTAACTGCAAAACCTGCAGTAGAAATGAATGGAAATTGTCTTTTTAGATATTTAGTATAGTAACTGTATATGGTCGTCAGTTGATGCTACTTGCCTGCCTGCCTGACACTCCCCACAATTTGTTTCATGTAAAATGGCCAGAACAATAATTTTCAAAGGTTCCAATAAAATAGGAGGGGGACAATTCTTCCCTGGGCCCTGCAAGGCAGCTGTGGTCTATAAAACCAACAGTCAATTATAATTTTGTGATGAATTTCACAATTAACAATTATTCCCATCATTTGCAGGATAAGAAAACCAATACAACTTACCGCATTCTTTAAGATTGTACTGTTCAGGGAAGTTATAAATATGTTCCGGTACACCATCAGGAAGTAGTGTGTCTTTTTGGGCTCGGATCCTGTGTGTGTTCCACACCTTTTCCCTGAAAATATCTAACTCTTTCTGTATAAGTGGCACCATAATAAAAGCCAAAAGCATCCTATATTAAAAACAAAATACCAAAATTTGTGATGGATCACCAAGGGAATAATGAATTTAGGTGAATGTTTCAGCCCATGAAATATAATTAATATCACTATGTATTATTGACACAAGATGGGATGGAATCCTATATCAGATTTATATTTTGTACATTCACATTTTGCAGATTGAAAGAGAAAGAAAGTATTGCTTCTGATGAGCACAGACCATGAGCACTGTCTGTGCCCTAACGCAGTATTTTACTCTAATTCTGTCTAACAACAGAATGACTTTAATGAGTTTAGTTAAACAATTAAAGTTATAGGAATAAAGGTTATTGCAACACTTTTGCTTTAGAATATTTATGAAAATGAGTACCACTGCAGGGGTGATTTGAAACATACTGTACGTACTAGTAGTTGATTTGAACAATGGGTATTTACTTAACTTTCACAATGTTTACCTGTCAGTGTTATTATGAGGGTCATAGTGGCATTGGTCTTTCAGTCAACACAACTGTGTTTTAAAGAACTTTCGTTCGTGGAGCTCTTTCCACCATCTTTCAATCTACAAATACATGTCACAAGGTTTGTTAACATCTTTTAATTATCTCTGTTAAATTATTTTCTCACTACCATCAGATGTATAGTCTGCCACAACAAAAGTAGCAGTGTCTTTAATAATTTTTTACACACATACATACATACTAGACCAAACCCTAACAAATGTATCAAATTACAAGGGTAGGAGGGTAGAAACTACCATATTTATGAAAAAAAGATGCTATATTTTGAAGTGCATGCCCATATAAGGGCATAGAACCTTGCCTTGGGGCCCCCAGTGTGAGGAACCTGTTTCTCACTTCTTTCATACTTCAGCCAGCAAGAAACATAATTCAAATAATAAGGGGGCAGTGAGATCAGTTTTCTGGTGTTTATCCAATACAGATACTGTGTATTATACAGTATACCTGGTAATACAAATCTCAGGCACAGAATAGATGCATACAGAAGGTCAACTTCCAGGTTTTGGCTCTGATTTTGGTGTAATCATTGCAGTGCTGACACCATGGTCCTAACCAGTGTGCTTATGATAGGCATTCATCCCCTTAAAATATTCAAATTAATGGGCAGATGTCCATGGCGGTGAGTACTTCTCGTAACCATGGCATCAGCATTTTGATGACAAAACATTCTGAATCATGGCGTGACAGAGGTAACGCTCTTTTGGTTGAGTCAACCTTCTGTATGATTGTATCTATTATGTGCCTTAGGAATATTCTGATAATTACAGGGTATTTACCCTCTACTTTCACTGATTATATCTGAGAGTTTCTGCCGATATTAATTAAAATTTACTTGATTTGATGTCGAAGGCCCATAAATAACTGTCTCGTGTGGATCCATGTCTCCATGATACCTCCTTAGAAATGAATGCATCGTGGCCATTACCCCTGTTTCAGTCCCTTTGTCTACTCTATGAATGGCTGAAATTATCTTTGTTTCATAGAGATGCTCCAGGTACCGTCGTCCAATTATTTCGGGTCGCTATTTGTTACCCATATTCTAAGCCAGAGAAGTTTTCGGCTGTCAGTCAGTCAGTCAGTCAAATCTTTATTTAAGCACGGTAGCTTCATCAGGTTTACAAAAAAGTTATCTATACATTAATAAGTTTAAAAAATTTTTCACGCCTATGTTACATTAATATTTATACCTGTTTTCCATGAATGCCGTGTCTATCGAATATGATGTTTCAACAATTGTCGAAATGCAGTAAGAGATTCCGCTTGTCTTATATTGCTAGGTAAGCTGTTCCATAACACTGCACCACTATAGCTAAAGCTATTTTTAAGATAATTGGTGCGGGGTAAAGGAGCAGCAAGTTTGTTCACGGAGTCTCGAAGTATATAAGAAGTTACATTATTGCGATTAGTAAATTTAGAAATAGATATTCGGGTGCAAGGTTATTTAAAGATTTGAAAACCATCAATGCTTTTTGAAATTGGCGTTGTTGGTTTAGATCATCCCACCCTAGCTTTTCCAATAAGCTATTGGCATCGGCGTCAAAGTTGGAAAAGGTCAACACCCGCGTTGCACGGTTTTGAAGTTTTTGAAGTTTGTTAGATAAAGTTTTCCCACAATTTCCCCACACGACATTACAATAATCAAAATGTGGTTGTATTAGAGCTTGGTAAATAACATGCAATGTTTCCAATGAAACAAATGACCTTAACCGCTTAATAGCACCGATACCAGAAGCAATTCGTTTTGTCATTTTATTGATAGGACTACTCCAAGTAAGATTTTCGTCTAATAAGACACCAAGTGATTTTGTTGTCGAAACTCGATCTAAAGGAATTCCATTTATTTCAAAAGAAGGATTGTCAGAAAGAGTACTTAAACGTTGTCTCGACCCAATTAACATGTACTCAGTTTTAGTCATATTTAAAGTAAGTTTATTTGATATTAACCATTCATTAATGTTTTCCAAATCTTCCTTAAGATGAAATTGAATAGTGTTTGTATCGCTACCAGAATATGTAAGATTAGTGTCATCTGCATACATTCTGGGATGAGAATTAGATAAACAATTTGGTAAATCATTAATAAATACCAGAAACAGGAGCGGTCCTAGGATCGTTCCTTGAGGAATTCCACACTTAAGACTACACTTTTTTGAAAGTGACCCGTTAACAAAACATTTGTTGTATTCCAGGCAACCATATATAGCTAATGGGAAAGTAGAATTTTGATATCCCATTAGCTTATCGTGGCCATCGAGTGAGTGAACCCAGTTAGTTCCTTTTGTGGTGAAATTGCCTTTCTTTCGTTGTTTCTTTCCACCGACGCCACCTCTTTCTTCGAGACCTTCGGGGCACAATTCATACATAACATCGTAAACTTGATCACGGGTAACATTTAGGCCATGTTCTTGCCGAATTTTCTTGTGAATTGCGCGATATCCCAATAATCTTCCTGGTCCTTTTAGTTCAGTTTCAACCGCCTGGATGACTTCATCTACTGTCACGCTATTATCTTTGAAATATAAGTTAAAATGACGGAGTCTTCGGTCCAGTGATCTAAGACGCCATGCATATTGCGGGAAGTCACGAGTTAAAAAATCCAGAATTTCACGTCTTTGAAGGCTTTGGCCAACATACTTTACCATGGATTCTTGAAGATCATTATCATTTTTCCACAACGCCTCTTACGTCCGACATCAATACATTGAAAAATTTAAAACTTGAAAGAGAACCTTGCATGAACAATCGATACAAAGATACAAACCAAACAAACAAATCCTTTCAGCCTGCAATGCCCGTAGCCTCCTTCGAAGGCATCGCCTTTCGATTTTCTGGCAAAATTTCTTGCAGGCAAAAAATTTTTCACGCGCGCATGGCATCATGGTAGTGGCAGCGCTCGGCCACAGAGAAATTTACTGTTATTTTTGTTTCCATTTCATTTTGAATATAACTTTAGTTTTCGGTTGAAGTTGTATTTGGAATGAACTTTTATTTTAAATTGCTTTAGCTTTCGCATTTCAAATGAAAAAAATTAAACTTTATTAGAGTTTGTGAGTTGTATTTACATTTACTTTTACATTAACATTTTACTTTACTTTAATTTTCTTTAATTTTTTAATTTCAATTTGTAAAAACTGAAAATTTTTAAGCGGCAACGCTCGGCCACCATACATTTGAAACAGATCCAACAGGTTCTAGCCAGACTGTTCATAACAATGTAGCACAAAATACTCGCAAACGAACAATGACGGAACCTTTTGAGTACGCAATAACAACAAGAAAAAAAGTCGCGCTGTCTAAAGTACAGGAATTTAAAAGAACATTAACTGACTTCCGGTTAATAATATCAACAACGCGAAGTCAATATGAAGTTAAAAACGAACTAAAAGCGAAGATAGAAGAATACGAAGCAGATTTGCAAGCCTTTGATGAATATTTACAGCTAATTGTTGACGTAGCATGATAGACGCTCAAAATGAGCTAAAAACAACATGGGAAGGTCCGGAAGGCCCTCTGAAGTTCGCTCAGGAATGTTTGCGTGCACTAGAAGAAGAGGATAAGAGATCTATTTCGTCGCGCGTCTCTCAAAAAAAAATCAATTCGTTCACGCGGATCTTCGCGAAACTCTTCAACGAACACGAAAGATACACTAACCAGTATCAAAGCAAAAAGAGCTGTTTTACAGGAAAGACTAAATAAAATTCAAGGACGTCATTAAAAAACAAGAAAAAACCCTTGCTAAATTAAAGCTTGAGCAAGAATTAAGTGAAACTTTAGCAGAGGAAGCAATTTACGAAGCTGAAGTAATTGAAGAATCTACAATTTCACCCATGCCATATTTGCCTACAGAGTCCTCCACTATTCTACATTGATTCTTGAACAGTGAACCTTCTCCCAGCATGCCTGTACACCCAACAACACCTCCATACTCCACAACAACTACCCAGCCCGCACACCCTACAGCACCCACACAATCCGCAATACCTACTCAGCCCGCACACCCCACCACACCTAGTCAACCAGCACACCCTACAACAACCACACAACCCGAAATACCTACAACACCTCCATACCCCACAACACCTAGTCAACCCGCACACCCTACAACACCCACACAACCCGCAATACCTACTCAGCCTGCGCACCCTACAATTCCCACACAACGCGTAAACCCTACAGCACCTCTACATTCCACATAACCCACATTTGGAACGTTTCACCCTTCGTTGGCAACGACAACAACATTGTGGTAAACTACCTTTTCTCGATGTCGATATAACTCGCTCAAACGGTAAATATTCCACTTCTGTTTATCGTAAACCAACTTTCACGGGTCTTTTCACTAACATCCACAGCTTCATTCCTCTTGCATACAAACGCTCTTTAATCTCTTGCCTACTTTACAGAATTTTCAACCTCTGTTCTAGCTATGAAAACTTTCATACTCAGCTTGAAGTTATTAGGAAACTGTTTAACTTGAATGGTTTCCCCTCCCACATGTTTGACCGTCTTGTTCATCGTTTCCTTAACAAGATCTTCGAACCCAAACCTCCTATTCACACGGTTCCTAAAAAGGTTATCTATTTTTGCCTTCCCTTTACAGGTTCACACTCTCTTCAAATTCGCACTCAAATCAACCGACTTTGCAATGCTGCTTATCCTCATCTCAACATTCGATTTGTCTTTCGCTCCTCTAAACGCATCTCTTCTTTCTTTCCTTTCAAGGATAAAGTTCCTAGGTTCCTGAGATCTGGTGTTGTATACTTATTTAAGTGTCGATGCTGTTCCGCGTCGTATGTGGGTCAAACCATGCGCCATTTACACACCAGAGTATCGGAACACCTGGGACTCACTCCTATAACAGGCCAGCCGTCATCCAGTCCAGTCATGTCTAGTATTTTCTCTCACTTAAATACTACAGGGCACTCTGCCAACTTTGACGACTTCAAAATTCTTTCCTCTTGCTCAGACACTTGTGAATTATTGATTCACGAAAGCCTTTTTATATCTAAACTCAAACCTACGCTTAACCTTCTGTAATTTGCCGTTTTCTTGTGTCTGTTTTGTTTCCTCATTTGTATCGTCCTGTCTTACATACACCCTCTTATCCTTTATTATCCTTAGTAACATAACACCTTGTAAATAGATTATAATTAGCTTATATATATTCACATCTCGTGTAATTTTATCTAGTCTGAAGATGTCTTAAGTTAAAGACGAAACGTTACAATTAAAATTCTTTACAATCTTTTAAAACTGTTTTAATGGCTTTGTTAAAAGTTATATGTTGGGCTCTCATATTTATTATACGAATTTGTTTAGTCCACACGTATCAACACCAAATTTCATCAGTGAATACTTGGACAACATTTACGCCCTTTACACCCAGAATGGCTACAAGTACAAGCGTATTCCCAAGGACAGCACCTAGTGCCAGTACAGGACATGTTTTCCAAGATAAGCACGAACAGAATCCAGCTCCACTTCATCGTCATTCATCAGAGCATAGGCAATCAAAGGAATGGACTGGAAACGCTAGGCAAAACGCTATGACGCGAACGCGGCATCCGTGATACGGGCTAGCACGTATTAATTTATCAGTTACCGTGGCAACTGGCCTGTAAAAAAGTTTAAAAAATGTAGATTTTTCATATATTTTTTCCCTTTTTTTTTAACAAACGCAAAGGTAAAAGATATTTTTTGGCGGTACCAAAAGCAGAGAATATATGCCAAGGTGAGTACGTGTATATTTTTAATTTTCCCTATAAAAACAATCATTATAACTTCGGTTTTTCACAACGTTGACAAAACAATTACGTACGTATATTACATCTCTCCCTGTATGGTTATGTTTCGAACCCTGGAACTTGGCGACAAAGCTGTTACTTGTCTACTAAGGCATATAGTTATACTCTCATATGTAATGTTGATTCCACTAGGACGTTCACAAATCCCTGCGATATACAAATTTTGTAATAAATATATTTTTTAACAGCTCACCTTGCGCGACTACGAAAATATGTCAATTTTTGTTGTTCCAAATCCGAACCCTGTACTGCAGTTTTAAAAGAGTTTGGGATTTTAAGGTTACATATTTTGAACAAGAATAGACTAATGAGTTCCACTATCGCTTTTTTAAACTTCTTTTTGGCAAAACAAACTCAAAAATCAATATTGAATGGGTGTGCACTGTCTTTGAAAACACAAATGTCGCTATTTTTGTTTTTCGAGTATACACTTACTTCGAACCCTGTAACTACAGTTTTAAAACAGTTTAGGATTTTAAAGTCACATATTTTGACTTAGTTAAAGTTTAATTTGAATAAGAGGCGTCAAGTTAATGTAAAAATCGTTTGAACTTTATTGGAAGTATATTAATACAGTACGTACCCATGCACATAATCACCAGGGCAATGGCGACATTTGTGTTGTGAAAAACAGTACGCACGCATTCAATGATGATTTTTGGGTTTGTTTGACCAAAAAAGAAGTAAAGAACGGTAGTAGAACTCGTGCTTGTTCAAAATAGGTAATTTTAAAAACCTAAACTGTTTAACACTATAGTTGCAGGGTTCGAAATATGAAGTGGATACTTCGCAAACAAATCTGGCGACATTTGTGTTGTCAAAAATAGTATGCACACGGTCATTGATTATTTTTAGCCTTATTAGCGCAAAAAGAAGTTTAAAAAAGCGATAGTGAAACTCATTAGTCTATTCTTGTTCAAAATATGTGACTTTAAAATCCTAAACTGTTTTAAAACTGTAGTTAAAGGGTTCGAAGTAAGTGTAAGTGTATACTCGAAAAACAAAAATAGCGACATTTGTGTTTTCAAAGACAGTGCACACGCATTCAATATTGATTTTTGAGTTTGTTTTGCCAAAAGAAGTTTAAAAAAGCGATAGTGGAATTCATTAGTCTATTCTTGTTCAAAATATGTAACCTTAAAATCCCAAACTCTTTTAAAACTGTACTGAGTTACAGGGTTCGGATTTAGAACAACAAAAATTGACATCTTTTCGTAGTCGCGCAAGGTGAGCTGTTAAAAAAATATATTTATTACAAAAATTTGTATATCGCAGGGATTTGTGAACGTCCTAGTGGAATCAACATTACATATGAGAGTATAACTATATGCCTTAGCAGACAAGTGACAGCTTTGTCGCCAAGTTCCAGGGATCGAAATATAACCACACAGGGAGAGATATAATTGTTATGCCCGTACGATCGATAGTCAAAACTCAACAAATATACGCCAATTTTCCACTATTATTTTCCACTTTATATCGTATATTACTATTTCCACCAATATAAAATATAAACAGCAGGTTTTCTGCAAGTTAAACTAAAATTAATATACAAATACATCAAAATTGTCAACAATAAGTGTTCAAAACTTACCGACTGTATCGGTCGTTCAATAAAGCAAGTTTCTGCTAACAAAATCCACAATATATGTTCTATAAATACTGAAAATGTTTACTTCTCGTGTTCAAAATTCAATATGGCCGTCCCAACCCGAAATGTTTTATGGGGCGGCTTTCCCACTGAACTCTATGTATACACTGATTGGTAGCTACACCGGCCCCTAAATGGACGAGTTTGTCCATTTAATCTAATTAGTGCTACCAATCCTACAAAGTGATAAACAACAACTTGTCTGTAGTTCTTAATATATCAACATCAAAGTCTCTTCAACAATGTTATTCCAGTTCCAACCGACATAACTTGTGTATTGGACGAGTAAGGATTGTGCTCGTTGTTTTCAATTCACCACGACGTGGCCGCTTCGTCCGTGTAACAACAGTCGAACTTGTTTTTACATTGACTGTCCATACCAATCTGTCATCACTCGCGAAGATTTCCACCACTCTGCCAACAGACCATTGTCCTCTAGGATAATTTCCATCCATAATCAGCGCTAGATCATCAACTTTCCAGTTTGGTTGCTTGTTATTCCACTTCTGGCGCTCTTGTAGAGAAGGAAGATATTCCTTCAACCACCTCTTCCAGAACACATTCACCATATATTGGGCTTGTCTCCAACGACGCTGAGTGTGTAGATCTGAATCATCAAAAATTCCAGGTGGTAGAGTGGGACATGGTCTCAATTTTAGTAGATGATTGGGTGTTATGGGTTGTTCGTCGCTTGGATCATCACTGTTGCCAAAACTTCATCACATACCACTTGTTCTTTCATTAAAGCTCGCAAAACTTGGCGTGTTGATCTAATCATCCGTTCCCAAACTCCACCAAAGTGACTTGCGTCTGGTGGGTTGAATAGCCACTGAATACCTTTTGGTTACAAAAGTTCTCGATTTTCTCTTGGTTCCATTTCTGTATTGCAGCTGTCAACTCCTTGTCGGCACCTTTAAAATTTGTTCCACGGTCACTTCGAATTATCTCTGGGCACCCACGTAGGCAGATAAACCTTCTCAAGGCATTGGTCATTGA